TATTTATTTAGGTGATGGTGGTAGGAGATGGCAGTGGTCTCTTGTGTCTTGATGCCAGGGTGCTGTCTATGGCATCGTGTCCAAAGTCGGCACTGGTGGTAGTGCTTATAGTGAGTGAGGAGCAACCACTAGACTTTAACTAGCCATGATTTGACTATTGTCCTGGCCACCTAATTTCCCTGAGCTGCTTGATAACATTCCGTTAATAACATTAACATTTCTGCTTAAGTTAAGCACAGTTGGTTTCTGTTCTTTGCAGCCAGGAACATTGTCTAATGAACGTGAGTGAGTTGTAGATAACAGATTGACCTTCAGGAAATGGAAAAGTCTGAATGGGTTATCTGATGTAGTTGGGGCTAGAGGCATTAAAAGCCCAGTTACTGCATACTAAGGGGTAGAAATGACATCATTCAGTGATAAAAATAGTTAATAATCACCTACGGTCACTGGGATCATAAAGCTCCTACTAAAGGCAAGACTTTGGAGGACAAAGTGGTCACACTCAAAAAAGGTAAGAAGGTCATGTGTGGACAGGGGTTCTTCTTTCAACAGAAACAAAGCAGCCTGAGGAAGGACAAACTGGAATCCCTACACAAGGCCTGGACAGAAAGTCAGGGACTGTCTTTTTTCTTGAGCCTCATGACTGAGCTAGCCGGAGTTCTAAAGCTCAGTCTACACTGTATTTACCAAACAACATCAGTTGAATTTCATAGTTTTGCCAGATCTCTCATTTGAAAGTCAGGGTGCTGGAGGGGAAAGAATGGTATTCTGAGAACTGGTGTGAGAATTTAGTGACTAGGACAATACTCCTTCCCCTGGGCCCGCTGAACCCTCCGTTGAGCTACACAAAATAAGCTCCCTCCTTTCCCTGATAAGGCTATTTCACCTTTGCTTGAAGGTAGGCTAACTCCATTGTCCCACATGCGCCCAACTGCTACCCCTCAATAGTTCAGTCTCTGAGGATAGAATGAGCGATTTTGTACCTAAGTCCATATATATTATTGCTTTTATTTCGATAGAGTTGCAGAGGTGTTACCGCTATATTGGTGGTGTGGGTGATTTTAATTTTATTTGTATTCTAATTGTCAGATATCAGCAAAAGCTGAGATATAGTAACTGTTTTCCTAAATTTTCTCCAACAGTAGTTTGTTTTACATTTTGGCAGTTTGCTCATTTGATGGGTATAAGTTTATTTTCTACTGCTAATGCTAATTTACTTTGCATTTCTTTGCCACTAGGAACTTGTGCTGCTCTCATCTTTGATATTCAAATTTCTTCTGTAAATTATTTACTCATACTCTCTGCCCATTTTCCTACTGAGTTTTCCCTTTCTACCTCTCTCCCTTTTTTTGCCCATCCACTATGACAGCAGGAACACTTTATTGATTAATAAGTGTCTTATTATTTTACTTATTTAACATTTTATTATTATTAACAACATAGATACAGGATACATCACAAGGATGGTTACAAACATATGCAGTAATGCAGTACATTTTATTTATTATTTTTTAAAAGATTTATTTATTTATGCATACAAGAGCTGGGGTACAGGCCAGAGATGTGGGCGGGTGAGAGGATTCACTAGAGACAGAGTGGGGAACAGGTAGATCTACTGAAATACACTGCTGAGAGGAGCAAAGGGCGAGAGAGAGAGAGGAGAGGTCCGCCTTGCCATGTGGGTTGCTCCCTGGCTTCCCGGGGATTGAACTTGTGCTGTAGAGGTTGCAGATGGCTTCATAGTGCAGTGCTTAACCCCTGCGTCACCAGGGAGGTCCTGTAGTACATTTTAATGGACAATGGAGTCTGTGAGGAATTCTGTTTGTAAGTTATTCTTGATATAATAAAGAACTATGCTGAAAAACCTATGAATGACCTTAGCTTTAAAGGGTTAGTTTAATGGTCACTTACAGTTACTGGGACCATAAAACTCCTACTAAAGGCAAGATTTTGGAGGACAAAGTGGTCACACTCAAAAAAGGTAAGAAGGTCATGCGTGGACATGGGTTCTTCTTTCAACAGAAACAAAGCAGCCTGAGGAAGGACAAACTGGAATCCCTACACAAGGCCCGACAGAAAGTCAGAGACTATCTATTTTCTTGAGCCTCATGACTGAGCTAGCCGGAGTTCTAAAGCTCAGTCTACACTGTATTTACCAAAAGACATCAGTGTAGACTAGTGTTTTTTGTTTCTAAAGATTTATTTTATTTATGCATACAAGAACTGGGTGTAGGCCAGGGCCTCCCCGGTGGCACAGTGGTTGAGCGCTGGGTTGCGAAGCTGCCCACAGCCTCTGCAGCACTGGTTCGATCCCTGGCGCCGGGCGAGGGTCCCACATGGCGCGCAGACCTCTCCTGCCGCCCGCTGCTCCCCTCAGCAGTGTACTTCGTCAGTCTGCCTGTTCTGCTCTCTGCTCTGGCTCTGGTGAATTCTCTCACCCTCCCTAGCTTCTGACTGTACCCAGTGCTTGTATAAATAAATAAATTAAAAAAAAAGATTAAGAAAAATAAAATGTTTAAAAAAAAATAAAAAGAACTGGGTGTAGGCCAGAGGTGGGGTGTGTGTGTGTGTGTGTGTGTGTGTGTGTGTGTGTGTGTAAGAGAGAGAGAGGATTCACCAGAGACAAAGTGGAGAGCAGAACAGGAGGATCTACTGAAATACACTGCTGAGGGGAGCAGCGGGCGACACAGGAGAGGTCTGCTGCACCATGTGGGTCCCTCTCTGCCAGGGATCGAATTCATGTCGCAGTGGCAGGAGATAGCTTCATAGTGCTGAGACTTAACCCCTTGTGCCACCAGGGAGGCCCTGTTTTTAGTTTTGTTTTGCTTCATTGGTAGATGCCCTTTATCAGGTTGAGGAAGTTCCTTCTAGTCTTAGTTTATTGAGAGTTTTTGACAGGAATAAATTTGGAATTTTAATTTTTTGTCTTTGCATGTTTTATTCATTTCAAATACTTGTTAAATACCATTAGGTTATTCTTCAGGACACAAACAAAGAGCACTTCCTGCAGAAACTTAAGAAATATGTACATCCAAACTTCAAGCTATACTACAAAGCCATAATAATTAAAACAGTTTGGTATTGGAACAAAAACAGACACACAGACCAATGGAACCGAATAGAGAGCCCAGAAATAAAGCCACACTTACATGAACAACTAATCTTTGACAAAGGAGCAAAGAATATGCAATGGAACATGGACAGTTTGTTCAATAAATGATGCTGGGAGAACTGGACTTCCTCAGGCAAAAAAATGAAAGTAGACTACTACCTCTCACCATGCACAAAAATCAACTCAAAATGGAGAAAAGAACTGGACATAAGACCTGAAACCATAAAATATATAGAAGAAAATATAGGTAAAACACTACAAGACATACATCTCAGAAACATCTTTAAAGACACATCACCCAGGGCCTCCCCTGGTGGCGCAGCAGTTGAGCACTGGGCTGCAAAGCTGCCTGCAGCCTCTGCAGTGATGGTTTGATCCCCAGCCACTGGCGAGGTTCCCACATGGTGCGACAGACCTCTCCTGCTGCACCCGCTGCTTCCCTCAGCAGTGTGTTTCGTCAGTCTGCCTGTTCTGTTCGTTCCCCACTCTGGCTCTGATGAATTCTCTCGCCCTCCCGTGCTTCTGACTGTACCCAGTGCTTGTATATATAAATAAATAAATCTTTAAAAAAAAAAAGACACATCACCCAAAGCAGTGATAGTGAAAGCAAAGATAAATACCTGGGATTACATCAAACTGAAAAGCTTCTGTACAGCAAGATACATTAACCAAAACAGAGAGACACCCCACTGATTGGGAAAAAATCTTTGCACTCCATTCAACTGATAAGGGACTGATCACAAAAATATACAAAGAACTCACACAGCTCAACAAAAACAAAATAAACAATCCAGTCAAGAAATGGGCAGAAGAACTCAAAAAACATTTCTCCAAAGAGGAAATGCAAATGGCCAACAGGCATATGAAAAAATGTTCAACATCCCTTATCATCAGGGAAATGCAAATCAAAACCACAATGAGATACCACCTTACACCAGTAAGAATGGCAAGTATCAAAAAAACAAGCAACAACAAATGTTGGCGAGGATGCGGTGAAAAGGAACTCTCCTACATTGCTTGTGAGAGTGCAAACTGGTCCAACCACTGTGGAAAGCTGTCTGGAGGTTCCTCAGTCTACTAAAAATGGAGCTACCATATGACCCGGCAATTCCACTACTAGGGATCTACCCAAAGGACACAAAAACAGTGATTCAAAAGAACACCTGTACACCTATGTTTATTGCAGCACTATTTACAATAGGTAAAACCTGGAAACAACCCAAATGCCCAAAAATAGATGACTGGATCAAGAAGCTGTGGTATATATACACAATGGAATACTATTCAATCAAAAAAGATAAACTCAAGCCATTCGCAGCAACGTGGATGGAGCTAGAAGGAATTATGCTCAGTCAAATAAGCCAAAAGGAAAAAAAAATATCGGATGGTTTCACTTATAACAGGAATATAGAGGAACCAAGTAAGACATCAGTGTAAAAAAAATAACAGTACAAAACACAACAAAGCAAAAACAATTATAAACCAGAGACATACTGCAGGGGAGGAGGAGGGAGAGGGATGAGAGGGAGGGAGGGAGGAGCACAGGGGACTGTGGTGATGGTGCACAGGTGCCTTGGGGAAGGAAATTCTATGGGGACTACACCTGAGGGGCTGGGGGAAAGCAAATATTGTTTAAAAAATTTTTAAAAATGATAAATGTTAAAATAAAAAAAAAAAAGAAAAAAAGAAATACGTACAGAACTTTACAGAACAGAGAATAATATGTTAGCTGAAGTCTGACTGTTGAACAGACGTGGAGTTTCAAATGGACTCAGTGAAGAAAAGCAATCCCGGCAGGGAGCCAGGTGTGCATCTGGATCAGACTTACCTGAGGCAGGCAAGGCTTACGGATGGAAGATCCATTTTAGAAGGTTGAATACTGCACAAGGGTTCCCTGGATATTGGCTACAGTCCTGGCTGACGTGCCCTTAGGTCAATGTCATTCAAATTCTAGCCCTGCAAACTCCTGCAGCAAAAAGTCCTAAATTGAGAATCAGGTTCCTCCAGGAGTCATTCCTACTGGTGGCAAGCCGGCATATGCAGACCACCAGTCTCCCACGTGGTCCGGAAATTTGCGTGCTTCACTTGTGGAGCCAGCATCATTCAGGCAGACACTCCTGGGTGCCAAAGCAGCACCTCCAGGCTCCCTAAGGCCTCTCGCTGATTGGTGGATTTTGCCAAATATATTTTTGTCAAATCAACTGGATCAACTGCGATGATCGTGTGGTCTTTTTCCTTAGTCTGTTGATAGGATAAATTACATTGAATTTCAAATGTTGAACCTGTCTTGCATTTCTAGGATTAGCTCCATACAGGTGCAGCCCACACGATGATGTGGTGGTCCCTGCAAACCAAGGTGGATGTGGGCTGTACCTTCTAGGTTTGTGTGCACGCCCTCTAGGGTGTTTGTACAAGGGTGAAATAAATAATCCCATGACAGTGTTCTCAGGAGGCATCCCCATCAGTCAGTGATGTTGACGACATTATTTTTTTATATTGCCAAATTTTATTTGCTACTAGATAGTAGAAGATTTTTGTGTCTATATTCATAAGAGATACTAGTCTGTGGTTTTCTTTCACTGTCCCTGTCTGGTTTTGCCATCCTCATACTGTCTTAGGTAATGCTATCCTCATATGATAGAATGAGTTAGGAAGTATTCCTCCTGCTATTTCTCTGACAGAAATTATAGAAAATCTACAAGGAATTTTTGTCCTTCAATATTTGATAGAATTCAACAGTGAGACCATCTGGGTCTAATGCTGATTTTGGAAGGTTATTAATTATTGATTGAATTATTTACTAAATATAGGTCTATTCAGATAATCTATTTCTTCTTGTATAAGTTTTGCAAATTGCTTATTTCAAGGAACTGGTCCAGCTCTTCTAAGTTTTCAAATTTGTGGGCACAGAGTATTTATAGAATTCCTTTATTATCCTCCTCTTAATGTCCATGGGATCATAGTATGTCCTGGTTTTGTTTAATATTAGTAATTTGTGTCTTTTCTTTCTTTCCTGACATGGCTATAGATTGATTTTATCCATCTTTTGGCTTTATTTCTCTATTAATTTGTTGTTTTCAATTTCATTAACTTCTGATCTAATTCTTTTTATATTTTATTGTTCTTGTTCTTTTTTTCTAGTTTCCTAAGGTGGAAATTTAGGATGATTCATTTTAATTTTCTTTTAAAAAATGTGTTCAATTCTATAAATTTCCACCTATGCACTGCTTTCACTGTGCCCCATAATTTTTAGAAGTTGTGTTTTCATTTTTATTTCAAATTATTTTAAAATTTTATTTGCAACTCTTTCTTTCATTTGTTATTTACAAGTGTGTTTTTAACATCTACATATTTTTGTATTTTCCAGTTATATTATATATATATTTTTAAAGATTTATTTATTTATTTATACAAGCACTGGGTACAGTCAGAAGCGCGGGAGGGTGAGAGAATCCACCAGAGCCAGAGCGGGGAGCAGAGCAGGCAGAAGGACCGAAGTACACTGCTGAGGGGAGCAGCGGGCGGCAGGAGAGGTCTGCGTGCCATGTGGGACCCCCCTCCGGTGGCCGGGGAGCAGCCAGAGATCGAACTGATGCTGCAGAGGCTGCGGGCAGCTTTGCAACCCAGCGCTCAACCGCTGCGCCACCAGGGAGGACCCCAGTCATATTTTGTTATTTATTTTTAGTTTAATTCCATTGTGGTGTTAGACCAGATTCAGTATAATTTCTACTCTATTAAATGTCTGTGTTTTATGGCCCACAATGTGGTCTATATTGGTGAATATTCCATGTGGCTTGGGAAGTGATTTGCTTTTAACAGTCCAACCAACAATATTTTATTCTTAATCCATTGAACTAAATTCTCTGTGATATAAATTGTAAGAATAACATTGGACCTGGAAATATTTTTGAAACTACGGCATCTACTCATACCATAAAATGATGTAAAAGCAATATGCAGAAGTGAAAAATGCTACACAAATGTTACCTTCAGAGTTAGTGTTCCAGCATGTGTACCACAGCCAGGTTTTCTAGTAATCTATGTGTATATTTTATCTTGTACACATATTTTGAATTTTATCTTGAATTTTAGTTTTGAATTAAATGCCAACTTCAACAAATATACTAAAAACAGTCATGGTGTAGATACGGAAGATACTTAAAATACATAAATATTTAAAATACAATTCCTAAGCACACTCTTTAAGATCTTTTTTTTTTTAAAGATTTATTTATTTATGCACACAAGAACTGGGATATAGACCAGAGGTGTGGGGGATGAGAGGATTCACCAGAGACAGAATGGGGTACAGAACAGGCAGACTGACTGAAACACACTACTGAGGGGAGCAACGGGCGAGACAGAAGAGGTCTGCTGCGCCATATGCCATATGAGTAGCTCCCTGGCCAGGGATTGCACTCGTGCTGCAGTGGCTGTGGACAGCTTCATAGGTTGCGTCTTAACCCCTTGGACCACCAGGGAGGCCCTGCTCTTTAAGATCTTAATAGGGAAAACCAGTTTTACTTTCTAAATATTTACTTTCTAAAAATTTTACTTTCTAAATATTTTTACTTTCTAAATTGGGGCAAAAGCACTTATTAAGGTGGTTCAAGTAGGACATTTATCTAGATATCAGGACTGAATCCCTACTCCCAAAACTCAGCAAGAACTGAGGTTCTCCAAAGCCAGAGGTAATTTATACATTAAGTTCTTATACAAAGAAATAAAAAACACTAAGAGAGCATTTGTACTTGCACATATAAATAAGCACTTTTACAGTAACATTTCCAAGCAGGAAAAAAAAAAAAAAACAAAACCTATAACAAGTTTGGAAGCAGTAAGACTGTAACAGGAACTAAAGCCAGCTTTCCCTCATGGCCTCTGCTACTCAACAAAGGATTATTTCAGTCCCATTAACTTTGGTTCCGTTTCAATTATGTTTTAGATGAGTGTTTACTGTTCAGTGTTCTGTGGACTCTCTAACCAGCAGACCAAAGGCATCCTTGGTTTCCATGGGAAAACAATTGTTCCCAGACTGACTGTAGGGAGTAGGCCAGTGTTAACAGAACTTCCTTACACCAGCTCCTAGGAAGATAAATGACAGGGAAAGGTGAAACTCGGTTTCCTTGATTTGATATTACTTTGTTGAACCTTCAGAAACATCCTCAAGTTGGCCTGGACTTCCTTATTGGTAACAACAGGGATGACTTCTGGACAATTTATAGAAGAAAAGAGACAGTCATGGAAGGAATCTGGTGGGAGATGGTAGGATATGATCTTTTGCATTTCACAGTTAAGAAATAGGGAATACTGACATTAAAACCAACTCACAGAGGAATAGACATAATGCAGCCTCAGTTTTTCCAGAAGAGGAGTTTCTCCTCCTTGACTACTGGGTTGAGCTCACCAGCTCCCCAACTGATCCCCCTATTTCTGTCATTACAGGGACCATTTCCATTAGCACAGCTCTGACAACTCTCAAAGACCCACCAGGCCAGTCAACTGATGGGTCACGGAGGGGTCTTCATGGTGCAAACCATAACCAGAGGCCATAGACGGTGTCACTGTTCGATGTTTGCTTACTTTCCAGGAGGATTACCCTTCCCTGCCCACTGATATTGGACCTGGCAGCTGGGGCCTTTCCCTGTGGATGAAGGATTTTATATCTTTATCCTGTCAAACTCAGGGACAACCAAGTGACATGCAAGGGCCAACAGATGCACATCATCTCTGGAAAGTGACTGAGAGCCAGCTGTGGTTTAGCTATCTCTCACTTCCCACTGTCGTGAGAGTGGCAATGTCCCAGGTAGGGCATGTGCCATCAGCCTGGGTCCCGTGTGAGGACAACGTCGAGGAGGGCACGTCTGGATTTAAGTCTTCCCCCAAGTGCGGGAGACATCATGGGACCATGGAGAGAGGCCAGAACCCCTCACTGAGCTCCCTTGAACCCCACTTGAGTGTCACCTGGCCTGTGGAATAGGTGTTGAAAGGGGCCCTAAGGTGGGTCACTGATGATTGGGCAAGTTCGCCCTCTTTCAGCCCCAGTCCTCCCCCCTGTGCCCAGTCCTTCTCCCCAACGACCTTCTCATCTGTGGGAACCCTGGCTGGGATCACATTCCTCTTTGGAGCCACCTCTGGGTCTCGGCGGTGTGTGCATAGCCCAGAGAAGGGTCTGTGACACTTAGGGCCGTGCTTGCCAGCCTGGGTGCGGCACAGGGGTAAGTGATGGGGGTGCACCTCTTCCCTTCCCTCCCCTCCAGCTTTTCCCATAAGGGTTGGACCCCGATGTGGGGATGGGGTCTTCTTGGACTGCAGCAAGTAGACTTCAGCCGCCTTACCTTGGCCCTCTTCTCCCTGAGTGGAAAGGAGTTTCCCCCGCTCTGGAGGCGAAGTGTCTGTTGCTTTGGCTCAGTACCAAGATTTCACCTTCCCCTCCCCCTTCTGGGCAGGCATTCAAATGACTGCCATCAAGTGATAATTAATGCCAGCAGAAAGAGACAGGTTGTCAGCACTATGAAATTTCAGGAATGGGAGTGGTCACTTCCTGATCACACACATCCTGATAGCATTTTGGTGGAGCTAAGAGCAAAATGAAAGAGAGAGAGACTTACACACACACACACACACACACACACACACAGAGAAAGAGAGAGAACTTTTTTTTTTTTTTTAAAAAGATTTACTTATTTACGCATACAAGAACTGGGGTACAGGCCAGAGGTGTGGAGGGTGAGAGGATTCACCAGAGACAGAGTAGGGAGCAGAACAGGCAGACTGACTGAAATACACTGCTGAGGGGAGCAGTGGGAGAGTAAGGAGAGGTCTGCTGCGCCATGTGGGTAGCTCCCTTCCCTGGGATCGAACTCATGCTGCAGTGGCTACAGACAGCTTCATAGGTTGTGTCTTAACCCTTGAGCCACCAGGGAGGCCCGAGAGAACATTCTTGATGTAGGAAAAAGGTCAGGCAAAGGCCTGGAGAAAGAAAAGTCTGGGACAAGGAGGTCTGTGCCCGGAGCAGAAAGATGTTTGGGCAGTAGAGGGAGATCAAATTGAAGGGTGCGGGGAGGGAAGTGAGGAAGAATCGGGGAGCCTGAAGCTAGATGGGGGATCCATTTCCCCAGCAACGGTGTGCCTTACAACAGGGTGCATTTGCATGTGTCCTCAGCACAGCGACTGGCATTTTGTGCTTTGTGCCCTGCACCCTGGCCAGCCCGGGGGGGCTTAACTACTTAGCCCAGTCCCAGAGACACGCCTTGGGAAACAGGAAGACCTTGTGGAACAAATATTTCAGTGCTGCACGAAGAAGTCAAATCTGTTAAGGAATTGAAGTGGTGGATCCCAAGAATGGCCCTGCGCCCCACCAACCCCTTCCCTTGAGCTGCACCTGCCTTGCTGGCTCTGGGCCCCCCTCCCAGCCCAAGGCAACAGAATGCATCCCCACAATGCACGGTTGGTCCATGTGACACCCATCAGGTTTGCTAAGTAGTGCTCTACCTTTGCTAACCTGGCTTCGACCTTTCCACAGTGGCTGGGAACGGGTGTCCTGTTTTCAAGTGTGGAATTTTTTTGGGCATTTTTGAGTTTTCTCAGGCAGGCACTTTATGGGGTCTAGTGTTATCCTTGAGCTGCTAGAAACTAGGTTAATATTTGTACAAGTCTTTATAGACCAAAGTTAAGTCCTAGTTAAGAAGAGAGTTCAGGGCTCCCCTGATGGCCTAGGGGTTATGTCTCAGCACTTTCACCCCTCTGGCCTGAGTTCGATCCCCGGCCAGGGAGCTAACCCACATGGTGCAGCAGACCTCTCCTGTCCTGTTTGCTGCTCACCTTAGGAGTGTATTTCAGTAAATCTACCTGTTCTGTTCCCCACAGTGTCTCCGGTGAATCCTTTCACACCCTGCACCTCTGTCCTACACCCCAGTTCTTCTATGCCAAAAAAAGAAAGAGAGCTCAGAGGAACCTCGCTGAGCTTGATCAAGGATAGAATCTTTGTCAAAACACTACAAATAGAGACAAACTTAGTTCCTTCAAGCTTCTGTGGGCTGACCCTGCCTCTGTTATTGGGGTAGCTGACCCTCTTTGCAAATTTTAAATGCACTCACGTGTGTGTGTGTATGTTCATAGGAAATACATACGTGTGTGTTTTAACAAAATTGTATCACTGAATAAGACATTCTGAGGGTCTTTACGCGACGGTGCCATTCTTTTGATTCCAGCATTGAGTCTGTAGTCAAATATTCTAGGTCATTCAAGTTTTCTATTGAGGTCTGCCTGGGTTGTTTCCAGTTTCTGTTGGAATGGCAATGACCATCCTGTGAATGCCTCCTAAAGTGCCTCCTGAACACAGAGATGGCACGGTGGAATGTCTGGATCCTGGAGCCTGCATTTAGAATTTTAAGAGATGCCACCAAAATGCCTTTTTACAGGAGTCCAACTCACTCCCACTCCCACCTGCAGAGAAAGCGTGTTTGTTCTTCACCACTTAGCCCACACTGGGTAGAATCGATGATAGCTGGTCATCTGCTGGATCAACACTAGTCATTTCATTGACCGTTCCCACTGACCACCTGTATTTCCCTTTCTGGCCCACACCTTCAGACACAAAATGGCTTCTGATTGAATTCTGCATGCTCCTACTGCTTTGAAGATCACAGAGGTTCCACCTTCCTCTCTGTAGCTGAAAATTCAGAGGAGGGCCCAGATCCCAGAGTCCAAAGTCCTTGAGAAGTGTATTCTCCACCCATTTTGCTAGTTCTTGGTGGGGGGCAGGAGAGGGAAGGGCTTTTCTTAGAAACAGCTATGTGGGCTGGGTAGGTTGGGGGTTGGGCCACCAGCAGCTTTCCTACCTGGCCTTTCACTTCCTACAGCCCTGAAGTATGACACAGGAAGGGACAAGTGGGTGGTGCAAAGGTGAAGCTGCGCTTTCCCAACAGGACTAATGAACACATTCTGTCATTAGAGCGGGGTGCCGCAGTGCATGCACTGGCTCCTCCCTGCCCTGCTGTCCTGTTGTCCCTGTGCTAGCGCCGGCTCTGCCACACCAGGTCCATGGAGCTGCTCGGGCTCCTCGGCCTCCTCTGGATGCTCAGGGCTTCCCCTGGGACTGCAGGTGAGGAGGTGAAGTGAGGGGGCACCAGAGAGATGCTCCTGATGACACCGGGTGGGCATGTTGGGGTGGTTCTGAGGCCTTAGGGGAAGTTGGGGAGGAGGTCCCCAGAGTTCTGTGTGCAGGGAGAACTGAGGCAGGGGAGGCGCGAGAGGGGAGCTGGGGCCAGTCAGTGGGTTACCAGCTAGGACGGAAGGTGCAGAGTGCTCGCACCAGGAGAGCACAGTAAGCTTTAGCAAGGGTGTTCTTCCCACTCTGACTCCGTTTTCTGAGCCCCTCGGCCTTTTGCACAGACCCTCCACTCCCCAACCTAAGGGCTCCTTCCACCTGGGACACTAGTTCTGTTTCTTCCTTCTGTGCTGGCCTGAGAGTACCCTGGGGTGCCCTCCTCTTTCTGGGGTGTTTCTGCCTTTGGTTCCTGGGGTCCCATGTCCCAATCTGCCCATAACTCTCCCAGGGCAACACTGTCACGTTTTGGGGCACAGCCACTATCCGCAGGGCCAGGGTGGGAAGATCCTAAGGCCCACTTTGCTTCCAAAGGGTGGGTCTGAGGCAACCCAGTGTGGTGCCCCAGACCTTCTCCTGCTCCTTAGGAACCCCACAATTCCTCTGTGCTTTTTATCCCTCTGCCCCCTGGCATCTGCTTTACCCCCAACCCTAGGCCATCCCAACCCAGAGGCCCATTGTCCACCCTCTCACTTACCCTGGGGCCAACCTCCCCTCCATCTGCCTCCTTGACACTCCCCGTAGGATGAGAAGCAAAAAGCTTTCAGAGGGCCTCCCCTGGTGGCGCAGCGGTTGAGCGCTGGGTTGTGAAGCTGCCTGCAGCCTCTGCAATGCCCGTTTGATCCCCGTCCACAGGCGAGGGTCCCACATGGTGCCACAGACCTCTCCTGCTGCTCCCACTGCTTCCCTCAGCAGTGTGTTTCGTCAGTCTGCCTGTTCTGTTCCCCGCACTGGCTCTGGTGAATTCTCTCACCCTCCCCCGCTTCTGACTGTACCCAGTGCTTGCATGAATAAATAAATCTTTAAAAAAAAAAAAAGAGCTTTCAGAGCAAAGATGAGCCAAGCAGAGGCGAGGAAGAGGCTGCCCCTGAGTGGGCAGGAGAGAAGGCACTTCCTGCTTGGGCCTGCAGAGGCCACACGAACTCCCATACCCACCCCAGCATGTGGCATCAGGGGATCTCTGCCCCTCACTCTCCTTCCACCTGTAAATGGGGTTGATGGTATCTGCAGATGGAGGGTTCGTGTTGGTTTGCCAATTAACCAAGTGGCGGAATAGCAGAGGTGACTGACAGTGTGTACACTTGTAGCAGTAACGCCCACTGCTGGACCTTAGGGTCTCTGGGACTCTTGCCTGCTGCGGAGCGCTCTCTTCCTGGTAGTTTCCTTCTCAGGGCTTATCCCTCAGCCCCTCAGTGTGGTCCCCTGTCCTTGTCCTTAGCCTCCACAGAACCTGAGCTGCAATCTCTGTCTCTCCTCTTCCCGTTCTCCGTAAAGCTCTCCCTCTCTGGCCCTGCGTCAGCCGGTGCCCCTGGCGAGTGGCACTCCAGTGTGGCCTTGGCGGGGGTCATTCTCTCTTGCCTCTCTTAACTGCTGCCCCGTGTCGGAGCTGAGTCAGAACAGGCCGCAGAGGATCGCAGGGAGAAGGGCAGAGAGGGTACAGACAGAGAGCGGGCAGGGCGAGCAGAGCGGGACAGAGTGAGGGAAACGGGTGTGTGGAGGGAGGGGGCTGCAGAGGGAGGAGGCAGGGGTCTCGGCTGGCCTCGGGCTGGAAGGTCAGTCACTAGGAAGTGGGGGCCGCAGCCCAGCCCCCTTGGGCAGCCATCCCAGGGAGCGCCGCTTTGGCTCTCACCCGAGACCGCAGCCCCAAACTGCCTGTGGTAGGGGAGTCAGCAAGGGCGTGTTCTCCCATCGGGGGCTCTGAGAGTGGGGTAGACAGCCTACCAGGTGGTGTGACAACGCAAGAGACGGTTCACCTCGGAACTCTTCTGTCTTGCCGCTAACACAGGAGCTTTCTCCACGGGCACATCTGTCTCCATGGAGCTTCTCCCCAGAGCAGACACAGCCCTCACTGCTCTCAGCAGCGCCCCACACGCCACAGGCACAGCAGAGGGGCCAATCAGGATGCCCCAAAACCCTTCTGCCCCATACCCCATCTCCCCCACCCTTTATCCCCTTCTGGACCCACTGCTAAAACCCACCATCAAATCCAGCACCTCCACAATCCCTCCAACCAAGTATGTCCTCAAGGTGGGGGCCATGCCAGCCACCACGGTGGTGGTAATTAGCACCACAGAGTGCATAAACCCAACCACCCTGACCGTCACCACCAGCTACCCCACCACCACCTGCATGACCCAGACACAAGTGACGCTCACCAGCGCCTATACCAAAACTCCCGAGACAGGGACGCCAGGAACGCACTTCACCACTACCAGGCCAATGACAACAATAAAATCCACCACAGTTCCCACAGTCAGCACAACGGGAGCCACCACCACCACTGACACGCCTCCCCCGACCAGGTCAACCACCACACCGACCACCACCATTACTACTATTACGACCACTGGCATCACCACCCCGATGACCAGCACCACAAAGACCACTCCCATGACCGTATCCACCACAACCCCAACAACCACTACCACACCTCCCACCACCACATCCACCACAACACTGACGACCATTACCACTGAACCCACTACCACCACCACCTCGACCACAATACCAACAACGGAACCCCCATCTACAACAACTACCACCACAAAATCAACGACACCTACTGAGACTACTTCCTCTTCCACTACCAAATCTACCACAATCCCGACTACCACTACCACAGAACCTCCTTCTACTCCCACAACATCCACTAAAACACTGACAACCACCACCACAGACACCACACCCACTACCACTTCCAACACCACACCAAAAAGCACTACCTCCCCTCCTACTACCATACCCACCACAAACACAGCAACCACTACTGAGACCACTACCACTACCACATCCACAACAATGACAACAATCACCACTACTGAGACCCTGCCTACAACAACATCCACCACAACACTGACAACCACAGAGACCCTTCCCACTGCCACATCCATCACAAGCTCAATTACTACAACCACAGAACCCCCACCCACAACCACTACCACCACAACACCGACAACCACCTCTACAGAGACCACACCCACTGCCACATACACCACCATCCAGACTACCACAATTACACAAACCACTTCTACTCCAACCACAGCATCCACTACAACACTGACAACAACCACCACAGAGACCACACCCACTACAGCATCCAACACAACACCAACAACCACTACCTCTCCTACTACCACATCCACCACAATCCCAACATCCACTACTGAGACTACTACCACTACCACATTGACAACAATGACGACAATCACCACTACTGAGACCCCATCTACTACCACATACACCATGACACCAACTACCACTACCACACAACCCACTCCAACGTCCACAACAACATCCACCACAAAACTGACAACCACTACCACGGAGACCCCGCCTACTACCACATCCACCACAACACCAACAACCACTACATCCTCTGGAACTACCACTTTCACCACAACTACAACCACCACCACTACTGAGACCACACCCACGACCACATCCACAACAATGACAACGACCACAACTACTGAGACTCCACCCACTAGCACAAAAACCACAACCACACATGCCACTACCACGGAAACACCTCCCACAACAACATACACCACAACACTGACACCCACCACCACAGAGACCCCGCCTACTACCACATCCACCACAACACCAACAACCACTACATCCTCTGGAACTACCACTTTCACCACAACTACAACCACCACCACTACGGAGACTACACCCACTACCACATCCACAACAACAACCACGAAAACCCCTCCCACAACAACATCCACCACAACACTGACAACCACAGAGACCCTTCCCACTGACACATCCATCACAAGCTCAACTACTACCACCACAGAACCCCCACCCACGACCACTACCACCACAACACCGACAACCACCTCTACAGAGACCACATCCACTACTACATACACCACAATCCCCACTACCACTGTTACAGAAACCACTTCTACTCCAACAACAAAATCCACCACAACTCTGACAACAACCACCACAGAGACCATGCCCACTACCACATCCAACACAATACCAACAACCACTAGCTCCCCTTCCACTACCACATCCACCACAGCCACAACAATCACCACTACTGAGACCCCAACAACTACCACATCCACCACAACCTCAATTACCACTACCACGGAACCCCCATCCACGACAACTACCACCACAAAATCGACAACGACACCTACTGAGACCTCTTCCACCACCAATTCTTCCACAACCCCGACTACCACTACCACCGAACCACCTTCCACTCCCACCACATCCACCACAACACTGACAACCACCACCACAGACACCACACCCACTCCCACTTCCAACACGACACCAAAAACCACTACCTCCCCTCCTACTACCACACCCACCACAAACACAACAACCACTACGGAGACCACTACCACTACCACATCCACAACAATGACAACCATCACCACTACTGAGACCCTGCCTACTACAACATCTACCACAACACTGACAACCACCACCACAGACACCACGCCTACTACCACATCCAACACAACGCCAACAACCACTACCTCCCCTCCTACTAGCACATTCACCACAAGCGCAAGAACCACTACTGAGACCACTACCACTACCACATCCACAACAATGACAACAGTCACCACTACTGAGACCCTGCCTACGACCACATCCACCAAAACCACAACAACCACTACCACAGAAACATCTCCCACTACAACCACGACCACAAGAATGACAACCACCACCACAGAGACCCCTCCCACGACCACATCGACCACAACCCCAACTACCACTACCACAGAAACTCATCCCACTACCATATCCACCACAACACTGACAGCCACCACCACAGAGACCACGCCCACTACTGCTTCCAACACAACACCAAAAACCACTACCTCTCCTACTACCACATCCACCACAAGCCCAACATCCACTACTGAGACCACTAGCACTACCACATTGACAACAATGACAACAATCACCACTACTGAGACCCTGCCTACTACCACATCCACCAAAACCACATCAATCACTACCACAGGAACACCTCCCACAGCAACCACCACCACAAGAATGACAACCACCACCACCGAGACCCCTTCCACACCCACATTGACCACAACCCCAACTACCACCACCACAGAACCTCCTCCCCCTACCACAACACACACAACACTGACAACCACTACCACAGAAACCACACCCACTACCACTTCCAAATCAACACCAACAATGACTTCCTCGCGCCCCACAACAATATACACAACAACACCGACAACCACCACTCCTGAGACCCCATCTGCTACCACATCCACCATGACACCAACTACCACTACTACACAACCCACTCCAACTTCCACAACAACATCCACCACAACACTGACAACCACAGAGACCCTTCCTACTGCCACAACCATCACAAGTTCAACAACTACCACCACAGAACCCCCACCCACAACCACTACCACCACAACACCGACAACCACCTCTACAGAGACCACACCCACTGCCACATACACCACCATCCAGACTACCACAATTACACAAACCACTTCTACTCCAACCACAGCATCCACTACAACACTGACAACAACCACCACAGAGACCACACCCACTACAGCATCCAACACAACACCAACAACCACTACCTCTCCTACTACCACATCCACCACAATCCCAACATCCACTACTGAGACTACTACCACTACCACATTGACAACAATGACGACAATCACCACTACTGAGACCCAATCTACTACCACATCCACCATGACACCAACTACCACTACCACACAACCCACTCCAACGTCCACAACAACATCCACCACAAAACTGACAACCACTACCACGGAGACCCCGCCTACTACCACATCCACCACAACACCAACAACCACTACATCCTCTGGAACTACCACTTTCACCACAACTACAACCACCACCACTACTGAGACCACACCCACGACCACATCCACAACAATGACAACGACCACAACTACTGAGACTCCACCCACTAGCACAAAAACCACAACCACACATGCCACTACCACGGAAACACCTCCCACAACAACATACACCACAACACTGACACCCACCACCACAGAGACCCCGCCTACTACCACATCCACCACAACACCAACAACCACTACATCCTCTGGAACTACCACTTTCACCACAACTACAACCACCACCACTACGGAGACTACACCCACTACCACATCCACAACAACAACCACGAAAACCCCTCCCACAACAACATCCACCACAACACTGACAACCACAGAGACCCTTCCCACTGACACATCCATCACAAGCTCAACTACTACCACCACAGAACCCCCACCCACGACCACTACCACCACAACACCGACAACCACCTCTACAGAGACCACATCCACTACTACATACACCACAATCCCCACTACCACTGTTACAGAAACCACTTCTACTCCAACAACAAAATCCACCACAACTCTGACAACAACCACCACAGAGACCATGCCCACTACCACATCCAACACAATACCAACAACCACTAGCTCCCCTTCCACTACCACATCCACCACAGCCACAACAATCACCACTACTGAGACCCCAACAACTACCACATCCACCACAACCTCAATTACCACTACCACGGAACCCCCATCCACGACAACTACCACCACAAAATCGACAACGACACCTACTGAGACCTCTTCCACCACCAATTCTTCCACAACCCCGACTACCACTACCACCGAACCACCTTCCACTCCCACCACATCCACCACAACACTGACAACCACCACCACAGACACCACACCCACTCCCACTTCCAACACGACACCAAAAACCACTACCTCCCCTCCTACTACCACACCCACCACAAACACAACAACCACTACGGAGACCACTACCACTACCACATCCACAACAATGACAACCATCACCACTACTGAGACCCTGCCTACTACAACATCTACCACAACACTGACAACCACCACCACAGACACCACGCCTACTACCACATCCAACACAACGCCAACAACCACTACCTCCCCTCCTACTAGCACATTCACCACAAGCGCAAGAACCACTACTGAGACCACTACCACTACCACATCCACAACAATGACAACAGTCACCACTACTGAGACCCTGCCTACGACCACATCCACCAAAACCACAACAACCACTACCACAGAAACATCTCCCACTACAACCACGACCACAAGAATGACAACCACCACCACAGAGACCCCTCCCACGACCACATCGACCACAACCCCAACTACCACTACCACAGAAACTCATCCCACTACCACATCCACCACAACACTGACAGCCACCACCACAGAGACCACGCCCACTACTGCTTCCAACACAACACCAAAAACCACTACCTCTCCTACTACCACATCCACCACAAGCCCAACATCCACTACTGAGACCACTAGCACTACCACATTGACAACAATCACCACTACTGAGACCCTGCCTACTACCACATCCACCAAAACCACATCAATCACTACCACAGGAACACCTCCCACAGCAACCACCACCACAAGAATGACAACCACCACCACCGAGACCCCTTCCACACCCACATTGACCACAACCCCAACTACCACCACCACAGAATCTCCTCCCCCTACCACAACACACACAACACTGACAACCACTACCACAGAAACCACACCCACTACCACTTCCAAATCAACACCAACAATGACTTCCTCGCGCCCCACAACAATATACACAACAACACCGACAACCACCACTCCTGAGACCCCATCTGCTACCACATCCACCATGACACCAACTACCACTACTACACAACCCACTCCAACTTCCACAACAACATCCACCACAACACTGACAACCACAGAGACCCTTCCTACTGCCACATCCATCACAAGTTCAACAACCACCACCACAGAACCCCCACCCACAACCACTACCACCACAACACCGACAACCACCTCTACAGAGACCACACCCACTGCCACATACACCACCATCCAAACTACCACAATTACACAAACCACTTCTACTCCAACCACAGCATCCACTACAACACTGACAACAACCACCACAGAGACCACACCCACTACAACATCCAACACAACACCAACAACCACTACCGCTCCTACTACCACATCCACCACAAGCCCAACATCCACTACTGAGACTACTACCACTACCACATTGACAACAATGACGACAATCACCACGACTGAGACCCCATCTACTACCACATACACCATGACACCAACTACCACTACCACACAACCCACTCCAACGTCCACAACAACATCCACCACAAAACTGACAACCACTACCACGGAGACCCCGCCTACTACCACATCCACCACAACACCAACAACCACTACATCCTCTGGAACTACCACTTTCACCACAACGACAACCACCACCACTACTGAGACCACACCCACGACCACATCCACAACAATGACAACGACCACAACTACTGAGACTCCACCCACTAGCACAAAAACCACAACCACACATGCCACTACCACGGAAACACCTCCCACAACAACATACACCACAACACTGACACCCACCACCACAGAGACCACGCCTACTACCACATCCACCACAACACCAACAACCACTACATCCTCTGGAACTACCACTTTCACCACAACTACAACCACCACCACTACGGAGACTACACCCACTACCACATCCACAACAACAACATCCACCACAACACTGACAACCACAGAGACCCTTCCCACTGACACATCCATCACAAGCTCAACTACTACCACCACAGAACCCCCACCCACGACCACTACCACCACAACACCGACAACCACCTCTACAGAGACCACATCCACTACTACATACACCACAATCCCCACTACCACTGTTACAGAAACCACTTCTACTCCAACAACAAAATCCACCACAACTCTGACAACAACCACCACAGAGACCATGCCCACTACCACATCCAACACAATACCAACAACCACTAGCTCCCCTTCCACTACCACATCCACCACAGCCACAACAATCACCACTACTGAGACCCCAACAACTACCACATCCACCACAACCTCAATTACCACTACCACGGAACCCCCATCCACGACAACTACCACCACAAAATCGACAACGACACCTACTGAGACCTCTTCCACCACCAATTCTTCCACAACCCCGACTACCACTACCACCGAACCACCTTCCACTCCCACCACATCCACCACAACACTGACAACCACCACCACAGACACCACACCCACTCCCACTTCCAACACGACACCAAAAACCACTACCTCCCCTCCTACTACCACACCCACCACAAACACAACAACCACTACGGAGACCACTACCACTACCACATCCACAACAATGACAACCATCACCACTACTGAGACCCTGCCTACTACAACATCTACCACAACACTGACAACCACCACCACAGACACCACGCCTACTACCACATCCAACACAACGCCAACAACCACTACCTCCCCTCCTACTAGCACATTCACCACAAGCGCAAGAACCACTACTGAGACCACTACCACTACCACATCCACAACAATGACAACAGTCACCACTACTGAGACCCTGCCTACGACCACATCCACCAAAACCACAACAACCACTACCACAGAAACATCTCCCACTACAACCACAACCACAAGAATGACAACCACCACCACAGAGACCCCTCCCACGACCACATCGACCACAACCCCAACTACCACTACCACAGAAACTCATCCCACTACCACATCCACCACAACACTGACAGCCACCACCACAGAGACCACGCCCACTACTGCTTCCAACACAACACCAAAAACCACTACCTCTCCTACTACCACATCCACCACAAGCCCAACATCCACTACTGAGACCACTAGCACTACCACATTGACAACAATCACCACTACTGAGACCCTGCCTACTACCACATCCACCAAAACCACATCAATCACTACCACAGGAACACCTCCCACAGCAACCACCACCACAAGAATGACAACCACCACCACCGAGACCCCTTCCACACCCACATTGACCACAACCCCAACTACCACCACCACAGAATCTCCTCCCCCTACCACAACACACACAACACTGACAACCACTACCACAGAAACCACACCCACTACCACTTCCAAATCAACACCAACAATGACTTCCTCGCGCCCCACAACAATATACACAACAACACCGACAACCACCACTCCTGAGACCCCATCTGCTACCACATCCACCATGACACCAACTACCACTACTACACAACCCACTCCAACTTCCACAACAACATCCACCACAACACTGACAACCACAGAGACCCTTCCTACTGCCACATCCATCACAAGTTCAACAACCACCACCACAGAACCCCCACCCACAACCACTACCACCACAACACCGACAACCACCTCTACAGAGACCACACCCACTGCCACATACACCACCATCCAAACTACCACAATTACACAAACCACTTCTACTCCAACCACAGCATCCACTACAACACTGACAACAACCACCACAGAGACCACACCCACTACAACATCCAACACAACACCAACAACCACTACCGCTCCTACTACCACATCCACCACAAGCCCAACATCCACTACTGAGACTACTACCACTACCACATTGACAACAATGACGACAATCACCACTACTGAGACCCCATCTACTACCACATCCACCATGACACCAACTACCACTACCACACAACCCACTCCAACGTCCACAACAACATCCACCACAAAACTGACAACCACTACCACGGAGACCCCGCCTACTACCACATCCACCACAACACCAACAACCACTACATCCTCTGGAACTACCACTTTCACCACAACGACAACCACCACCACTACTGAGACCACACCCACGACCACATCCACAACAATGACAACGACCACAACTACTGAGACTCCACCCACTAGCACAAAAACCACAACCACACATGCCACTACCACGGAAACACCTCCCACAACAACATACACCACAACACTGACACCCACCACCACAGAGACCCCGCCTACTACCACATCCACCACAACACCAACAACCACTACATCCTCTGGAACTACCACTTTCACCACAACTACAACCACCACCACTACGGAGACTACACCCACTACCACATCCACAACAACAACATCCACCACAACACTGACAACCACAGAGACCCTTCCCACTGACACATCCATCACAAGCTCAACTACTACCACCACAGAACCCCCACCCACGACCACTACCACCACAACACCGACAACCACCTCTACAGAGACCACATCCACTACTACATACACCACAATCCCCACTACCACTGTTACAGAAACCACTTCTACTCCAACAACAAAATCCACCACAACTCTGACAACAACCACCACAGAGACCATGCCCACTACCACATCCAACACAATACCAACAACCACTACCTCCCCTTCCACTACCACATCCACCACAGCCACAACAATCACCACTACTGAGACCCCAACAACTACCACATCCACCACAACCTCAATTACCACTACCACGGAACCCCCATCCACGACAACTACCACCACAAAATCGACAACGACACCTACTGAGACCTCTTCCACCACCAATTCTTCCACAACCCCGACTACCACTACCACCGAACCACCTTCCACTCCCACCACATCCACCACAACACTGACAACCACCACCACAGACACCACACCCACTCCCACTTCCAACACGACACCAAAAACCACTACCTCCCCTCCTACTACCACACCCACCACAAACACAACAACCACTACGGAGACCACTACCACTACCACATCCACAACAATGACAACCATCACCACTACTGAGACCCTGCCTACTACAACATCTACCACAACACTGACAACCACCACCACAGACACCACGCCTACTACCACATCCAACACAACGCCAACAACCACTACCTCCCCTCCTACTAGCACATTCACCACAAGCGCAAGAACCACTACTGAGACCACTACCACTACCACATCCACAACAATGACAACAGTCACCACTACTGAGACCCTGCCTACGACCACATCCACCAAAACCACAACAACCACTACCACAGAAACATCTCCCACTACAACCACAACCACAAGAATGACAACCACCACCACAGAGACCCCTCCCACGACCACATCGACCACAACCCCAACTACCACTACCACAGAAACTCATCCCACTACCACATCCACCACAACACTGACAGCCACCACCACAGAGACCACGCCCACTACTGCTTCCAACACAACACCAAAAACCACTACCTCTCCTACTACCACATCCACCACAAGCCCAACATCCACTACTGAGACCACTAGCACTACCACATTGACAACAATGACAACAATCACCACTACTGAGACCCTGCCTACTACCACATCCACCAAAACCACATCAATCACTACCACAGGAACACCTCCCACAGCAACCACCACCACAAGAATGACAACCACCACCACCGAGACCCCTTCCACACCCACATTGACCACAACCCCAACTACCACCACCACAGAACCTCCTCCCCCTACCACAACACACACAACACTGACAACCACTACCACAGAAACCACACCCACTACCACTTCCAAATCAACACCAACAATGACTTCCTCGCGCCCCACAACAATATACACAACAACACCGACAACCACCACTCCTGAGACCCCATCTGCTACCACATCCACCATGACACCAACTACCACTACTACACAACCCACTCCAACTTCCACAACAACATCCACCACAACACTGACAACCACAGAGACCCTTCCTACTGCCACATCCATCACAAGTTCAACAACCACCACCACAGAACCCCCACCCACAACCACTACCACCACAACACCGACAACCACCTCTACAGAGACCACACCCACTGCCACATACACCACCATCCAAACTACCACAATTACACAAACCACTTCTACTCCAACCACAGCATCCACTACAACACTGACAACAACCACCACAGAGACCACACCCACTACAACATCCAACACAACACCAACAACCACTACCGCTCTACTACCACATCCACCACAAGCCCAACATCCACTACTGAGACTACTACCACTACCACATTGACAACAATGACGACAATCACCACTACTGAGACCCCATCTACTACCACATCCACCATGACACCAACTACCACTACCACACAACCCACTCCAACGTCCACAACAACATCCACCACAAAACTGACAACCACTACCACAGAGACCCCGCCTACTACCACATCCACCACAACACCAACAACCACTACATCCTCTGGAACTACCACTTTCACCACAACTACAACCACCACCACTACTGAGACCACACCCACGACCACATCCACAACAATGACAACGACCACAACTACTGAGACTCCACCCACTAGCACAAAAACCACAACCACACATGCCACTACCACGGAAACACCTCCCACAACAACATACACCACAACACTGACACCCACCACCACAGAGACCCCGCCTACTACCACATCCACCACAATACCAACAACCACTACATCCTCTGGAACTACCACTTTCACCACAACTACAACCACCACCACTACGGAGACTACACCCACTACCACATCCACAACAACAACCACGAAAACCCCTCCCACAACAACGTCCACCACAACACTGACAACCACAGAGACCCTTCCCACTGACACATCCATCACAAGCTCAACTACTACCACCACAGAACCCCCACCCACGACCACTACCACCACAACACCGACAACCACCTCTACAGAGACCACATCCACTACTACATACACCACAATCCCCACTACCACTGTTACAGAAACCACTTCTACTCCAACAACAAAATCCACCACAACTCTGACAACAACCACCACAGAGACCATGCCCACTACCACATCCAACACAATACCAACAACCACTAGCTCCCCTTCCACTACCACATCCACCACAGCCACAACAATCACCACTACTGAGACCCCAACAACTACCACATCCACCACAACCTCAATTACCACTACCACGGAACCCCCATCCACGACAACTACCACCACAAAATCGACAACGACACCTACTGAGACCTCTTCCACCACCAATTCTTCCACAACCCCGACTACCACTACCACCGAACCACCTTCCACTCCCACCACATCCACCACAACACTGACAACCACCACCACAGACCCACACCCACTCCCACTTCCAACACGACACCAAAAACCACTACCTCCCCTCCTACTACCACACCCACCACAAACAAAACAACCACTACGGAGACCACTACCACTACCACATCCACAACAATGACAACCATCACCACTACTGAGACCCTGCCTACTACAACATCTACCACAACACTGACAACCACCACCACAGACACCACGCCTACTACCACATCCAACACAACGCCAACAACCACTACCTCCCCTCCTACTAGCACATTCACCACAAGCGCAAGAACCACTACTGAGACCACTACCACTACCACATCCACAACAATGACAACAGTCACCACTACTGAGACCCTGCCTACGACCACATCCACCAAAACCACAACAACCACTACCACAGAAACATCTCCCACTACAACCACAACCACAAGAATGACAACCACCACCACAGAGACCCCTCCCACGACCACATCGACCACAACCCCAACTACCACTACCACAGAAACTCATCCCACTACCACATCCACCACAACACTGACAGCCACCACCACAGAGACCACGCCCACTACTGCTTCCAACACAACACCAAAAACCACTACCTCTCCTACTACCACATCCACCACAAGCCCAACATCCACTACTGAGACCACTAGCACTACCACATTGACAACAATGACAACAATCACCACTACTGAGACCCTGCCTACTACCACATCCACCAAAACCACATCAATCACTACCACAGAACACCTCCCACAGCAACCACCACCACAAGAATGACAACCACCACCACCGAGACCCCTTCCACACCCACATTGACCACAACCCCAACTACCACCACCACAGAACCTCCTCCCCCTACCACAACACACACAACACTGACAACCACTACCACAGAAACCACACCCACTACCACTTCCAAATCAACACAACAATGACTTCCTCGCGCCCCACAACAATATACACAACAACACCGACAACCACCACTCCTGAGACCCCATCTGCTACCACATCCACCATGACCAACTACCACTACTACACAACCCACTCCAACTTCCACAACAACATCCACCACAACACTGACAACCACAGAGACCCTTCCTACTGTCACATCCATCACAAGTTCAACAACTACCACCACAGAACCCCCACCCACAACCACTACCACCACAACACCGACAACCACCTCTACAGAGACCACACCCACTGCCACATACACCACCATCCAAACTACCACAATTACACAAACCACTTCTACTCCAACCACAGCATCCACTACAACACTGACAACAACCACCACAGAGACCACACCCACTACAACATCCAACACAACACCAACAACCACTACCGCTCCTACTACCACATCCACCACAAGCCCAACATCCACTACTGAGACTACTACCACTACCACATTGACAACAATGACGACAATCACCACTACTGAGACCCCATCTACTACCACATCCACCATGACACCAACTACCACTACCACACAACCCACTCCAACGTCCACAACAACATCCACCACAAAACTGACAACCACTACCACGGAGACCCCACCTACTACCACATCCACCACAACACCAACAACCACTACATCCTCTGGAACTACCACTTTCACCACAACTACAACCACCACCACTACTGAGACCACACCCACGACCACATCCACAACAATGACAACGACCATAACTACTGAGACTCCACCCACTAGCACAAAAACCACAACCACACATGCCACTACCACGGAAACACCTCCCACAACAACATACACCACAACACTGACACCCACCACCACAGAGACCCCGCCTACTACCACATCCACCACAACACCAACAACCACTACATCCTCTGGAACTACCACTTTCACCACAACTACAAACACCACCACTACGGAGACTACACCCACTACCACATCCACAACAACAACATACACCACAACACTGACAACCACAGAGACCCTTCCCACTGACACATCCATCACAAGCTCAACTACTACCACCACAGAACCCCCACCCACGACCACTACCACCACAACACCGACAACCACCTCTACAGAGACCACATCCACTACTACATACACCACAATCCCCACTACCACTGTTACAGAAACCACTTCTACTCCAACAACAAAATCCACCACAACTCTGACAACAACCACCACAGAGACCATGCCCACTACCACATCCAACACAATACCAACAACCACTACCTCCCCTTCCACTACCACATCCACCACAGCCACAACAATCACCACTACTGAGACCCCAACAACTACCACATCCACCACAACCTCAATTACCACTACCACGGAACCCCCATCCACGACAACTACCACCACAAAATCGACAACGACACCTACTGAGACCTCTTCCACCACCAATTCTTCCACAACCCCGACTACCACTACCACCGAACCACCTTCCACTCCCACCACATCCACCACAACACTGACAACCACCACCACAGACACCACACCCACTCCCACTTCCAACACGACACCAAAAACCACTACCTCCCCTCCTACTACCACACCCACCACAAACACAACAACCACTACGGAGACCACTACCACTACCACATCCACAACAATGACAACCATCACCACTACTGAGACCCTGCCTACTACAACATCTACCACAACACTGACAACCACCACCACAGACACCACGCCTACTACCACATCCAACACAACGCCAACAACCACTACCTCCCCTCCTACTAGCACATTCACCACAAGCGCAAGAACCACTACTGAGACCACTACCACTACCACATCCACAACAATGACAACAGTCACCACTGCTGAGACCCTGCCTACCACATCCACCAAAAACCCAAACAACCACTACCACAGAAACATCTCCCACTACAACCACGACCACAAGAATGACAACCACCACCACAGAGACCCCTCCCACGACCACATCGACCACAACCCCAACTACCACTACCACAGAAACTCATCCCACTACCACATCCACCACAACACTGACAGCCACCACCACAGAGACCACGCCCACTACTGCTTCCAACACAACACCAAAAACCACTACCTCTCCTACTACCACATCCACCACAAGCCCCATCCACTACTGAGACTACTACCACTACCACATTGACAACAATGACAACAATCACCACTACTGAGACCCTGCCTACTACCACATCCACCAAAACCACGTCAATCACTACCACAGAAACACCTCCCACAACAATCACCACAAGAATGACAACCACCACCACCGAGACCCCTTCCACACCCACATTGACCACAACCCTAACTACCACCACCACAGAACCTCCTCCCACTACCACAACACATACAACACTGATCACCACCACCACCACAGAAACCACACCCACTACCACTTCCAAATCAACACCAACAATGACTACCTCGCGCCCCACAACAATATCCACCACAACACCAACAACTACCACTACTGATACCCCATCTACTACCACATCCACCATGACACCAACTACCACTACTACACAACCCACTCCAACTTCTACAACAACATCCACTACAATACTGACAACCAGTACCACGGAGACTGCGCCTACTACCACATCCAACACAACCCCAACAACCACTACCTCCTCTCACACTACCACATCCACCACAACTACAAATACCACTACAACTGAGACCACACCCACTACCAAATCCACAATGACAACCACCACCACTACCCCTAAAAGCACAACCACAACTGCTACCACCACAGAAACACCTCCCACAACAGCATACACCACAACACTGACACCCACCACCACAGAGACCCCATCTACTACCACATCAAACACAACCCCAACAACCACTACCTCCCCTCACACTACCACGTCAACCACAACTAAAACCACCAGTACTACTGAGACGACACCCACTACCAAATCCACAGCAATAACAACCACCACCACTACTGAGACCACACCCACTACCACAAGCACCACAAAAACAACTGACACTACCACGGAAACCCCTCCCACAACAACATACACCACAATACTGACCACCAACACCACAGAGACCCTTCCTACTACCACATTCATCACAACACAAACCACCACAACCACAGAACCCACCCCGACTTCCACAACACCATCCACCACAATACTGACCACTACCACAGAGACCCTGCCTACTACCACATCCAACACAAACCCAACAACCACAACGTCCCCGCACACTACCACATCTACCACAACTACAACCACCACGACTACTGAAACCACACCCACTACGAAATCCACAACAATGACAACCACCACCACAGAGACCACATCCACTACCACACCCAACACAATACCAACAACCACTACCTCGCCTTCCACCACCACATCCATCACAACCAAAACCACCACCACAACTGAGACCCCACCAACTACCACATCCACCACAACCTCAACTACCACTAAGACCCCTCCCATTACCACTTCCATCACAATACCACAACCACAACCAAGACCCAACCTACTACCACATCCACCATCACCTTTACTACCAACACCAAGACCACTTCAATGACCACATCCACCACCATCAAGTCAACATCCACCACCGATACCCCTCCTACGACCACAGTCCCCACAACTCGGACAACAGCTTCCACTATGACCAGTATTATGACCACATCTACCAGTACTCCAATGACCAGCACAGCTGAGACCCCTCCTACGACTGCATTTACCACTACCCACAGCACTACACTCACACCACCTATTCCTTATATGAGTACTAGTACTAGTGCAATAACTACATCTTTTAGTACCATCATTCCCTCCTCCCCACACACAATGGTTACCTCCCCAACTGTGTCTTTCACCAGTGTTACATCTATATCTACCAGTACCACTTACTCTACTTCTCAACCTATGACCAGTACAGCAACTCCATCGTCCTCTGTCACTTCCATGGCCACTCCCACACACTCTTTTACTAGTAGAACTTCTCCAACTTCCCCTGATACAAGCTCTAGTTTTACTGAAACAACCAGCACACCTTTTATTACTACTCTTTCTACTACCCCATGTCCAGAGTCCATATCAGTTACAATAGTCCCTACTTCTCCCACCACCATTTGTATAGAGACGGAACCTAGTAGTGAGGTTACTTCAATGTCTACTCTCCCAACATCATTCTTTACCTCTACTACTGAATTGGCCTCCTCTAGTTCTGCCATCACAAGTACATTTCCTGCACATTCGGAGGCTTCTACTTCAGTTCCCACAATTGGCCCAACTGCCATTACAACAGATGCTCCCAGTTCCATCACCCCTGGGGGCATTCCCAGTAGCACCCTTGTGATGAGCACACAGAGCCCCACCAGTGGGACCTGGACAAGTACTGACTTTGTAACCACGCCCCATGTGCCGAGTTTCACTAGTCCCCCACTGACTACAACACCAAGCAGCAACCTTACAACTGCTGTAATGACTTCAAGCAAGGTGACAAGTCCCACCTCACCCACCACCAGGAGTCCAGAGACAACGGTGGGCACCACTCAGTCTTCCACTACCCTCACATCATCCAGGACCACTTCGACCACTACTAAGATGACCACCCAGTCTCGGCTGACTACTACTCCAGGTTGGACTTCTTGCCTTTGGCCTCTCTCCTCCTTCCCCTGCTAAATTTCCAGTTATCAAGGTCAGGCCCTGTCCTGAACTTCCTTTTCTTCCTGTGCTGCCTAGGTACCTGTGACAATGGTGGCACTTGGATGCAGGACCGCTGTCTCTGCCCCCCAGAATTCTCTGGGGACCGCTGTGAACTGCAGGAGATCAAGTGCCTGAACGGGGGTAAATGGGATGGCCTTAAGTGCCAGTGTCCCAGCACCTTCTATGGAACCCGCTGTGAGTTGGCTGTGGAACAGATGGAGCTAGGTGAGTTCCCAGAGCCCTTCCCTCTGCACTTTCTCCTGGGAAATCGCAGTGACTCCCCTGGGCCCAATCTGGTTGACAGGAGGCCGCTTGGCCTCTATGACATCTTGGCTTATCTAGCCATCCCTGCCTTTGTTTCCAGGAGCCTAGATCATTCCTCTTTCTGCCCTCATGACAAGGAGGTGGCTGGATCCTTTTTGACACCTCCTCCTGGTCTGGACTTCATTAAGGGTTTTTAATTTCTAATGCTGCTGTACAAATCACCACAAACCTTCAATGCAAATTTATTATCTCTTTATGGATATTTAGCAGTCTGACGTGGGTTTTGTCGAACTAAAATCAAGGTGTCAGTAGGCTGTGCTTCTTTCCACAGACCCTAAAGGAGAATCCATTTCTCTCCCTTTCCAAGTCTGGAGCCTTCTATATTCCTTGTCTCTAAGTCCCCTCTCTCCATCCTCAAAGCCAGTAATCGTCCATTCTGTGTCTTTCTTCCATGGTCACATCTTCACCTGACTGGGTCACATCTTCACCTGACCGATTCTGTCTTCTCCTGCCTCCCTCTTCCTCTGTTAAGGATCCCTGTGATTGTACCAGGCCCACCTGGATAACAGGTGGATTTGCAGTCTTTTAAAAAACTTCATAAACAAAATATAAAAAAAAAACATCTCATCCTTTGGATCCCCTCCATGTTTACTCCTCTACCCTTCCCCTTTGGTAACTTTTATTGTCAGAATCCATTGTTTTTAAATGTTTCGTATGTTCATCCACCTTGTTTCCTTTTTCCAAATATAGGTGGAAATCGTCCAATGTTTCCTTCTCCGTTGGACTTATTTCTCTTAACATAATCCCCTCAAGTTCCTTCTACTTTGCTGTAAAAGGGCAAAATTTCATCTTTCTATCACCAAATAGTATTCTTCTGTGTATATATACCACATCTTCTTTATCTACTCATCTATCGAAAGACACTTATGTTGTTTCCATTTCTTGGCTATTGTGAATAGTGCCACGATGAACATAGGGGTGCCTCCAACTCTTGAGTTAATGATTTCTTTTCTTCAGGTATATACCTAGGAGTGAGATTGCTCGGTCATACATTAGTTTGATTTTTACTTTTTGGAGGAAGCTCCAGCTGTTTTCTGAAATTCACCAATTTACATCCCCACCAACAGCATGAGGGTTTTTTCCACTCCACATCATCTCTAAAATGTTACTAGTGTTTTTTTTTTTAAAGATTTATTTATTCATACAAGCACTGGGTACAGTCAGAAGCGCGGGAGGGTGAGAGGATTCACCAGAACCAGAGCGGAGAGCAGAGCAGGCAGACTGACGAAGTACACTGCTGAGGGGAGCAGCGGGAGGCAGGAGAGGTCTGCGCGCTATGTGGGACCCTCCTCTGGTGGTCGGGGAGCAGCCGGGGATGGAAACTGCGCTGCAGAGGCTGCGGGCAGCTTCGCAACCCAGCGCTCAACTGCTGCGCCACCGGGGAGGCCCTGTTACTAGTGGTTTTGATGTTCATTTCCCTAATATTGACAATGAACATTTTCTCATGTGCTTTGGCCATCTTTATGGCCTCTGTGTGTAAGTCTTATGTTCACTCAGATCTTCTGTCCCCATTTTGTTTGTTTTTTATTTTTTGGTGTTGTTGTTGAGTTGTATGAGTTTTTTTTATATACTTTAGGTATTAACCCTTTATTGGATATAAGAATGCTAATCTCTCATTCAGTAAGCTGTCGTGCACTCTACTGATTTTTACCTTTTAAAATTTGATGTAGTCTCATTTATTTTTGCTCTCATTTCTTTTTTCTTTAAAGGTATTCTTTTTTTTCCCTCCTTTTTTTTTTGAAGATTTATTTATTTATTCATACAAGCACTGGGTACAGTCAGAAGCATGGGAGGGTGAGAGAATTCACCAAACCAGAGCGGGGAACAGACTGACGAAGTACACTGCTGAGGGGAGCAGCAGGTGGCAGGAGAGGTCTGTGCGCCATGTGGGACCCTAGCCTGGCAGCCGGGGATCGAACTGGTGCTGCAGAGGCTGCGGGCAGCTTCGCATCCCAGCGCTTAACCGCTGTGCCACCAGGGGAGGCCCAATTTTTGCTCTCATTTCTTTTGCTGTGGTTGAGTTCCTAAAACCGTATCTATAGCCGATATAATGTATTTTATTGTTTTAGGACTTACATCCAAGTCCTTAATTCATTCTTCTTTTTTTTTAGATTTATTTATGCATATGAGAACTGGGGTATAGGCCAGAGGTGCAGGGGGTGAGAGGATTCACCAGAGATAGAGTGGGGAGCAGAACAGTTGGATTTACTGAAATACACTGCTGAGGGGTGCCTTGGGCGAGACAGGAGAGGTCTGCTGAGCCATGTGGGTCACCTCCCTGGTTGGGGATCGAGCCCGTGCTGCAATAGTTGCAGATTGCTCCATAGTGCTGATGCTTAACCCCTTGTGCCAGCAGGAGGTCCCCCTTAATCCATTCTTAATTATTTGTGTGTATGGAGTTAGAGAGTGGTCCAATTTCATTCTTTTGCATGTAGCTGTGCAGTTTTCCCAGCACTATGTGTTGAAGAGATTTTCCTTTCTCCATTGTACAATTATGTCACAAATTAACTGTCTATATATGTGTGGCTTATTTATGGGTATTTGATTCTATTCTATTGACCCACGTGTCTACTTTTATTTCAGTATCATACTGTTTCAATTACTGTTGCCTTACAATATAGTTTGAAGTGTAGTAATGTGACACTTCCATTTTTCTTATTTTTTTCTCAATTGCTTTAGCTATTTAGGGTCTTCTGTGATTCCATATAAATCCTAGAATTATTTTTTTCCATTTCCTTAAAAGATAACATTGGAGGGCCTCCCTGGTGGCACAAGGGGTTAGTACAGCACTGTGAAGCTATCTGTAGCCTCTTCTGCATGAGAGCTCGATCCCCAGCCAGGGAGTACCCACATGGTGCAGCAGACCTCTCCTGTCTCGCCCACTACTCCCCTCAGCAGTGTATTTCAGTCTGCCTGTTCTGTTCCCCACTCTGTCTCTGGTGAATCTTCTCACCCACTGCACAGCCTCAGGCATCTCTGATATTAGGAATGTGGGATTTTTGCCCTCTGGCCCTGGCTCAGCCACAGATCACTGACCCCCCTCTACAGTCCTATTATTTTCCAGATAAGGCCTTCCATTTTCTGCACCTCACTAGTGCAGTTCCTAGGGTAATAGGGTCTCCAATACAGGAGAAAGCCCTTCAGTCACCATTTTCTCCCTCTCCCCCCAAAAAGTTCCTTATCATTGCAGTCTCTTCCTCTCTTAGGTCATGGTGCCCTGGTTGCATTCCAGATAAATCTGTATTTTGACTTTTCCTATAGTCAAAGACATTTTCTTTCATATTTTGTTGTGAAAATCTGATGCTCCAGTCTTCAGGTCTTTTTGAGGAACATTTGCTTTATATAGATGATGATTTGTTGTAACTGTGGGGATGTGAACGCTCTGTCTTCACCATTCTGTTATCTTCCCAGAATTTAGTGATCTTAATTCCATCAGCAATCTTGATTTTGCTTGGCCTGTACTGTAACATATCCATAAATTCTGGGGATTAGGACATAAGCGGCCGTGGAGCCACTATGCTGGCTCCCACTCTGACAGGGTGTGACTATAGGCAGATTTCGATGACCTGACTTCCTTTCTTTCCTTCATCTTGAGACAACTCATCCCAAAATTCCCACCTCTCTCCTGTGTGCCATCCAGTAAGTCCTCAGGAAACTAGGAAAGGGACCAGTGGGGAGCCCCTGGATTGGGGTGGTGGTGATATCAGACAGGAGCAGACAGTGAGGTGACCAGAGCTGGACATACTTGTGCAGACACTGTGCAGGCTGAAGTGGGCATGGAGGTGTCTGTGGACCAGGAGTTCTCCTCGGACCTCAACGACAACACTTCCAAGGCCTATGAGGATTTCAGCAACACCTTCAGGGCTCAGGTGAGGGACGAGGGAGGGAACTCAAGGGTCTTCTCTTGGCACTGAGCTTGGCGCTGGATGCCCTCATACCTGGAGATTGAAACATGAGCCCAGAATCCTTGTTGTTTTAGATGCAGAAGATTTATCAAAATGTGACAGAGTTCAAGGGTGTGGAGATCCTGTCCCTGAGGTAGGACACATCTCTGGGCTGTGGAGGTATGTCAGGAGGGGAAGGGGATAGAAGGAAGATTGGAGACCTCATCCCTCCCTTTTGAAATTTTCATATTTCATGAGGATGCAAGCAGATCACTATATGGGGAATCGTGCAATCATTTCCTGGATCTGTCTCTCTGTAGGAGGGACGCCCCTGCTCCTCTTTAAGCACAGAGGAAATACAAGATTGCATAAGACATGTGGAGAGATGGTGCACGATGGCTGATGGGAAGCTTTCTCTCTGGACAGTAGCTGGTCTCTCTGGTTGGCAGAGAGCCAGGGGCCTAGTTTGGTAATGGCCTGATGCAGTGCAGGAGACGGTCGGTCATTCCTGGTCCTACCATGTCAAGCTGACAGTCAGTGAAGCTGGCAGCCCCTTCTTAACACAATGTGTCTGGAATCCAAACGCACTGCTTCTGCCTCTTTCTTTCCGCAACCCTTTCTTGCCCCCTGCACTATTTGTTGGTGCTGAAGATGCTCGTCTGGGGATCAATGGGTCTCATGTCTGGGCACGCTTAAGGCTTTCTGACCTCCTCAACCCTTCAGGAAAGGCAGCATCGTGGTGGACTACCTGGTCCTGTTGGAGATGCCCTTCAGCCCCCAGCTGGAGAGCGAATATGAGAAGATGAAGACATTGCTCAGGGAGGAGCTCCAAAACTCCAGCCTGGAGGAGAATGGCTGCAACAACCAGAGTGAGCAAGGCTGGGGACCCCAGGCTGGAGGGAGGGATTAGGGTCACAGCCACTGTCCTAGACTATCCCAGCACAGACAGGGGCCTTCTGGTACCCTCAGGAGACACCAGAGGTGTCCACAGTCAGCTGGGTCAAGGATGGGGCTAAGGAGGTGCTTGCCAGAACCTGGGTGCTGGGAATGAGGTCCCTGGCGGTTCTCTTCAAGGTTTTTGGGATGACTGAAGACTCTTGATAATTCAGGGGTCACCAGGGACATCAAAGAAACCTCATTTGTGGTGACAGAAGCCCTCTGGCCCTCCCCACACCAGCCCTGCTCTCCTGGCCTCACTCCTTGTACCCCTCCTCCAATTTCACTTGTGCCTTTGTCTCTCTAGGCCTGTGTTTTAAGCCTGACTCCATCAAGGTGAACGACAGCGTCAGCTCGTCAGTGAGCCCTCAAGGTAAAGGGTAAAGGTGTCCATGACCCCACCGACTGGGGACATGTGCCCGTTGAAGCTCCCTGGGGAGCAGGGGGAACCCTTTGGGGGAGGCCAGTGATGTAGCCCACGCGGGACGCCCTTTCCGGCCCTTCAGTAGCTTCCACCTGGGCGCAGTCTGGGAAGGTGAGCAGTGGGTGAGGGTTCCGGGGGACTTGCGCACCCACCCGCCATCGCTAATGCAGTCCTTGCACGGCTGAGTAGTGGATTCAGGTCTCTTTCTCTGCAACTCTCTACTCACCCCGCAGCCATCTGTCGCCGAGCCGCTGCCGAGGGCTTTGAGGATTTCTACTTCCCGTTGGTGGAGGAGAAACGGCTCCGCTGCGTCACCAACTGTACGTCGGGCTTGGACCACACGCTGGACTGTAACCAGGGCCAGTGCGTTCTGGAGAGGACCGGGCCTACCTGTCGGTGAGGCCCCGCCCACTGCCCGGACGGAGCTCCGCCCAACATGCCGTCATCAGGCCGCGCCCCCCCGCCCACTCCCCCCGCCCGCCCACTCCCCCCGCCCACTTCCCCCCACCCACTCCCCCTCCACCCACTCCCCCTCCTGCCCACTCCCCCGCCCCGCGCCCACTCCCCCCCAGTCCCCCGCCACCCCCGCACCCCGACCACCCCCACCCGGCCCTCCCCCGCCCCCCAACTCCTGTCCCTCCGCTGCCCCCGCCCCCCGCCCAGTAGGCGATTCTGCCGGGTGGGCCTGGCTGTGGCCCCCCGGTGGAGCTGACCCCGGGAAGGGAGGGGTCTGTGACCTGTGACCTCTTGGTCTAGGTGCTTCTCTACCGACACACACTGGCTCTCGGGGCCGCGCTGCGAGGTGGCCGTCCCTTGGAGGACGCTGGTCGGGAGCCTGGCGGCCGTCGGGGCGCTGCTGCTGCTGCTCCTGGTGGCGCTGGTGAGCGTCTACCTCGCGCGCTCGCGCTCTCAGCAGAGAGGCCGCCAAGGCAAAGGCTGGTGAGCAGGCTGGGGCTGAGGTGGTGTGGTCAGGGGGTGCCCCGAGGGCTGGCCCCCCTGACCGCGTGGCATCCCACCCCAGGGCATTGGACAAGGACAAGACGTGGTTTGACACGTGGGATGAGGGCAGCGTTGGGACTTTTACAAACCTGGGCTTCGAGGATGAAGGAACAGGTGAGTGTTTCCTCCTGGCCAAGGCGGGCAAGGGTTGCCCTGGGCACCGCTGAGGCTGGGGTGGGACGGGACAATCTCCCTAGCCCAGGACAAGCTTCCCCCTCGGGCCAGGGAGCTTGGTTATGCCTCCCCAGGCCCCTGCTGAGGAAGGTCCTGGCCCTCGCAGGTGCTTAGGAGCCCTGGAGGCCCTGCCTTCCTCACCTCTCCTTCCCTCCCCTGTGCGCCTCTCCCCTGTTCCCTTCTCACCCCTCTTTTCTCTCTCTGTAGTCATCCAAGAAATTGCCCAGGTGGCCTTGGAGACAGTGGACACCAGTGTCAAGGTGAGAGGGCAAAGGGGCAGGCCAGGGGCATGGGCCGCACCAGGAGGCAGTCACCTCCGGCCCACACCAGCAGATGGCCCCTGTTCTCACTCCCTTTCTCACGCACTCTGGCAGGTGCACATCCAGAGACCCGAGGTGACCTCATCCTGGCTGTGAGCCCTGAAGGGGCAGATTCACTTCCCCTCCACCCTGCCCAGATGGTGGGCAGGAGCTCTCTGCTCTGCCTTCATTACTAGAGATGGCCCAGACTCGCGCAGCTGACTCCTGGCTTCCTTGGGCAAAACCAGACCATGCCCTGACCCATGCTTCTCCTACTAGAGTGAAATCCACCTGGAAACCCAGTTCCAATCCGAGCTCTCCTGCTGTGGAACCCTAGGCCAGTCACCTGTAAACTGGCACAGCTGTCCTGATCCTTGTAACCATGCAGACCAGATGTACTCATCAGTTCTGTCCCAGCCCACCTTCCAGTCTCCACTCTGTGCTTAATGGCCTCTCTCAGATCCCCAAACCCCACACGCCTGCCCAGACTCAGACCTCAGTTTCTGGTTTCCTGTGAGCATCCCTGTAGCCAGCCCGCAGCCCCCGTCGCTCCTTATGTAACTCAGCGCTGCCTCCCTTGCTCCTATCCTTAAACCTTCTCCCCCCGACCGATTCCTTAAATCATCCCGTATAGCCCAGACCTCAGCCCCAAATCTCCTCCATTTTCCTTAATCTCCCCTTCCCTCTGCCCTAAATCTCTACCCCTCCCTCCAGTGCCCCAGTCCTAAATCCCCCCTCCTCCCCTCATATCCCTGTCCTTAGCGAGGCACAGATACCCTCTGCATCTTAGGACCCCCCTAACTGGTGCTCCCCAAGCCCTGGCCCTCTTTTGAAGCTTCATCCCTTCCTCTCCCCCAGAAACACCCCTGGGTCACCCTGGGTGGGAGTGGGACATGGGTGGGGGTGGGACGTGGGTTGTCCTGGGTCCCAAGTATGAGAAGTGGGGCCCTTAGGTGGTTTAGGTTCCCCTGATTCTCCCTAGCTCTCCCTCCCCTTCCCATTCCCTTCCCTGCTCCTGCTCCTCCTCCCCCTTCCTCTTCCATCCTCACCCCAGCCCTGCAGTGTTCTCTGAGCCCACCAGTCCTCAACTTTCTTTGCAGGAAGGTGCCCTTTAGGGACAGGCAGCCGGCGGGTGGCCAGTTCTCCCTGTGAGCAAAATACAGCATTTACTGTACAAGAGGCTGCTGCATGTCTTCCTTTCCCTTGGGTGGAGAACAGGGGCTTCTGGATGAAAAGTAGGAGGCCTAGGAGGGCCTGAAAGGAAGGAAAGAACCTGTGGGCAGCCATCCGGGGCCACAACTGCCCCCACAGAGAACACAGATGGGGGACCCACTTTCTTAGGGAGTGGGTGGAGCAGAGGAGCTTCTCCATCAGTGAGTGGGGGTGCTGGGTGGATTTGCCACCTGTGCCCTTCCTCCTGTGATGTTGGGGGCTTGGGGCTGGAGGAGGATGGTCAGGGACCTTGGCTTCCTAATCTCAGGAGGCCAATATACCCATATCGGGACCTGCCATGCCTGGAGCCTGGGCCTCTCCTGGCCTGTGGTGGTCGGGGTGACAGAGGAGGTCTTTGTTGGGGTCCTGGGAAAGGACATGTTCAATATGTATGAGGTGAGGTAAGAGTGGGTGACGGTGAGAACAGATTTGCCCCCAGTAGTTGACGGGGCACCTTGGAAGGTGTGTGATGTAAGCACCGAGCAATGAACGGGAAGTGCTGTTTTGCTCAGGGAGTAATGAAACCTACTCATTCAGCAGACACACAGGGACTGGCTCTTCCCGAGCAGGTGCGAGGTGCTTTGGAAGAGGCCGGAAGGATAAGCCAGTTTATACTCAAGTTTTTTTGATGCAGAAAGAACCACACGCCAGACCTGGTGCAGAGGTGGCAAGAGGGGCCCCAGGTCGTGCAGAGGGGGCCTCAGAAGCTGCTCCTGCCTCGCAGAGAGAGGTAGCGTTTGAAGCTCAAAGTCCTTAGGTAAATTCAGAACTGACAAAGCCATGCATAGTTCCAGAGAGGGCTGGAATGTTGATCATCAGCAGCCCTGAGGGTATAGCCACTTGGGAAGTGACTCTGATGCTGGGGTCTGGGTACTGCTGATGCTCACTGCGGGCCTACTATGTGCCAGGCACTGTTCTCAGTAATGTCTTTTTCGTCATTTAATTCTCCTAACCTAGAACAAATGTGCTGTTACTGATCTGTTTTATACCTGGGGAAAGCAAAGCACAGGGATAGTAACCAGTTGTTCAAGGTCGCCCACCCATCGTCGAGTGGAGGAGCCAGGATTCGAGGCCAAGCCGTGTGGCTCCCCAGTTCACCTTCCTCACCACTCACTGACTGGGGCTGCCCACGTGCGCGTTTCCAGGGTTGCTGCAGCAAATCACCACCAACGTGGTGGCTTCAACGGCAGAAGGTTATTCTTTCACAGCTGTGGAAGCTGGAGGTCGGCAATCAAGGTATCAGCAGGGCCCTCCTGACTCTTAGGGGAGGAGGCTTCCTTGCCTCCTTCAGCTCCTGGTGCCTCCTGGTCTTCTTGGCTCTGTCTTCACGTGGCCATCTGTGTGTGTGTGTTCAGTCTCTTCCTTTCTCTTATTAGGATGCCAGTATTTGGACTTAGGGCCCCCTAAATTCAAGACAATCTGATTTTGATATCCTCACCTCAGTTATGCAGGGATCTATTTACCAATAAGACCTAGGCAGGAACTGGCTCTGACGACTTGAATATAGTTTGTGGGGGCACACAGTCAATCTACTATACCATGCTTTGGCAGCAACCAGGTGACTGTTGAGGGAGATGTGGGTAGGAGCAAGGCGGCACTTCTTGCTGACACTGGAAAGCCAGGATGCCCATCCACTCTCCACAGTGAGTTGGGGTTTGGGGTGAGGGTCCTGGAGAAACCGAGTTGCCCTTGCTAGTTTGTACTCCCTGCTGCTCTCTGCTGCGTGCGACACAGGCTTGAGTAGCAGGGCTGAACATACATCCAGGGCTGTGTGACTGAAGACATCCCAGGTCTCCACATGGCTTCTCTTGTAGATTATTCTCAAGGGAGCAGGGTAGACATTTCTAGGGGCAGATGGGAGTTCAGAAATCAACTGCACAAGTTCCCACAGCTATATGGCCGCCATCCTGGAGTGTACCCCCCTCCAAACCCTGCCCTCCAGGGCTGCTCCTGCAAATCTGCTGACTGAGCTTACCACAAGCAGAAGTGTGTTTGGAGGTAGCAGGAGCAGACAATGTCTAGTGCGGAGATGAAGGGCCGTCAGACACGTCCACTCTGGAGGAACCTACCATCTCCTCAGCCATCTCAGAGTCATCAAAACACAGCCTCTCCCTGTAGAACAAGTGCTTCTACCCCATCATGCGTGTCATATTTTCTACCAATTCCCTGGCCACTGGACACACAAGTGCTGCAAATCCCACTGGATCAAACTCTGTATTCAGAAGCAGGTGTGATTTGTCTGAATCGACCTTTTCCTCTGGAACCTTCTCTACCAGAGAAGATGGAAGTGCTGGCGCTGCCACCTCAGCGCAGACAACTGGAACTTTCCCAGGAGAGTTCCTCCCATTCTTCAGTGACCTCTAATGTCACTCTTCCCAAATGGAATGCAAGTTCAGGAGAATCATTTCTACTCTAGTTGGAGATGAGGAAACACATTTAGCCCTTTACTGTGGAACCCGCCCCTCCACAACCCTCTCAGATTCATCAGATCCTACAGTTCCACCAGATACCTTCTATACCACTGGGAACACAAATTCTTTCCCATCTGGTCCAGGTGAATTAATTTCTGCTACCCTGATCTCTGGGCAAACACCCACATCCCATCCGAGAGCACCCACTGGCTACACAAAACATCAGATTTTTCTTGCCCTTTGGTTCAACTCTTCCCTGTGCCACCACGGCCAATAAAAATGCTGTTGCACATGAAGTCCTGAAGAATTCACCATTTTGGTCTCTGGACAAGCTTTTACAATTTCCACCACACTCAACTTTCCTCTCTGCCTATCTCAGGCTGAAAGTAGGAAATGGGCCAGAACTGGAAGTTCCAGAGGAATGAGAGTGATAATCCTTCCTGTCTCTTATCTCAGGTGCCCTAGCACCTGAGACTCTTACCCAGAGTTTTTATCAGAAATAAATTTGGGATTTTAATTTTTTGTCTTTGCATTTTTTCTTCATTTCAAATACTTGCTAAATGCCATTAGGTTATTCCTCAGGACACAAACAAAGAACACTTCCTGCAGAAACTTAGGAAACATGTACAGAACTCTACAGAACATGCGATAATACATTAGCTGAAGTCTGACTGTTGAATAGACGTGGAGTTTCAAGTGGACTCTGTGAAGAAAAGGAACCTGGGCAGGGAGCCAGGTGTGCATCTGGATTAGACTTACCTGCTGGCAGGCAAGGCTTACGGATGGAGGATCCATTTTAGAAGGTTGAATACAGCACAGGGGTTCCCTGGATACTGGCTACAGTCCTGGCTGAAGTGCCCTTTGGTGAATGTCATCAAGTTCTAGCCCTGCAAACTCTTGCAGCAAAAAGTCCTAAATTGAGAATCAGGTTCCTCCAGGAGTCATTCCTACTGGTGGCAAGCCGGCATATGCAGAACGCCAGTCTCCCATGTGGTCCGGTTTTTTGGGCGCTTCACTTGTGGAGCCAGCAGCATGTGGGCAGACACCCCTGGGTGCCACAGCAGCACCTCCAGGCTCCCTAAGGCCTCTCGCTGATTGGTGGATTTTGCCAAATACATTTTTGTCAAATATGTTTTCTGGATCAACTGAGATGATCGTGTGGTTTTTTCCTTAGTCTGATAGGATAAATTACTTTGAATTTCAAATGTTGAACCAGTCTTGCATTTTTAGGATTAGCTCCATACAAGTGCACCCCACACGACAATGTGGTGGTCCCTGCAAACCAAGGTGCATGTGGGCTGTACCTTTAGGTCCCATGACAATGTTCTCAGGAGGCATCCCCATCAGTCAGTGATGTTGATGACATTATTTTTATATATTGCCAAATTTTATTTGCTACTAGATAGTTGAAGATTTTTGTGTCTATATTCATAAGAGATACTAGTCTGTGGTTTTCTTTTCTTTCACTGTCCGTGTCTGGTTGTGCCATCCTCATACTGTCTTAGGTAATGCTATCCTCATATAATAGAATGAGTGAGGATGTATCCCTTCTGTTGTTTCTCTGACAGAGATTGTAGAGAATCTACAAGGAATTTTTTTCCTTCAATATTTGATAGAATTCAACAGTGAGACCATCTAGGTCTAATGCTTTCTGATTTTGGAAGGTTATTAATTATTGATTGAATTATTTACTAAATACAGGTCTATTCAGATAGTCTATTTCTTTTTGTGTAAGGTTTGCAAATTGCATATTTCAATGAACTGGTCCAGCTCTTCTAAGTTTTCAAATTTGTGGGCACAGAGTATTTATGGAATTCCTTTATTATCCTCCTCTTTTTTTTTCTATTTTTAATTTTTATTTTATTTATTTTATTTTTTTATAGAGGCATGGTTTATTTATTTATTTGTTTGTTTGTTTATACATGCACTGGGTACAGTCAGAAGCGCGGGAGGGTGAGAGAATTCACCAGAGCCAGAGCGGGGAGCAGAGCAGGCAGAAGGACCGATGTACACTGCTGAGGGGAGCAGCGGGCGGCAGGAGAGGTCTGCACGCCATGTGGGATCCTCCTCCGGTGGCCGGGGAGCAGCCGGGGATTGAACCGGAGCCTCAGAGGCCACGGGCAGCTTCGCAACCCAGCGCTCAACCGCTGGGCCACCGGGGAGACCCTATTATTCTCCTCTTAGTGTCCATGGGATCACAGTATGTCCTGGTTTTGTTTCTAATA